TAGAGAAGATCCACACAGTCATTATGTATCACCTCAATGAAGCTTGTTTTACTCATGGAACTTAAAGCAAGTATGTGTTGTGGCCCACCAGCAGACAGCAGAGGTGGCAGCAGATTTGAATAGTGAGGAGGTTAGAGAGGAACATGGGCCAGTCCTGGAGTCTGGGGAAGGCTCTGACGAGTGTTCTGCATTGGAGGCAGAGATGGGGCCAGGACTATCTGACAGTTATCAGCAGCCTTCGGCGTTGGATATCAGTGGGGCAGAAGAACATCTGGAGCCTGTTCCCAGTGTGTGCATGCACAGAGCTGTCAGGAGAAGGGAACAATTAAGGAACAAGGGTTGACCCGGGAGTAAAGCCACAGGTGGATGGTGAATGGCCCCTCCCATAGGGAATAAACAGCGAAGGGGGAGTGGTGTTTGCAGGAGACAGTTAGTTCAATTCATTCAGGTGAAGATCTGTTCATGACTTTACCAAATAGTGTCTCCTGCAGAGTGGTGTTTGGAAGATATCAGCCTGTCAGCTCTCCAAGCCTGATAAAGGTCTGTAGTTGTGAAATCTCTTTAAAGACCGTTGGCCAGGACTTTGCTGGAGAGGAATTCACTTTAAACTAAGTAAAAGGGGTTTTATTGGGAGGAGTCGGCTTCGTGCTTTTGGGAAGCCTAGGTGAGAACAGCATGCAAACCAATCTATTGATGCTATTTTTTATGAAATATTCCATATCTTCACCTTGACTGAATTTATGATTGTTTGGGGAGATTTTAGCTGTAGGTTACAGAACAAAATGTATATTAACCATAGGAAAGGCAAGCAGCATTTTTTGTATATCAGCTTATCTTTTAAGTAGCTACATTTTGAAGAAGAAAAGAAAAGAAACTTGTGGAAAGATGGATAAGAAAATATTATGTGGCTTGCAAAGACAAATAGAATAGCATGGGCATATTCTTTAAAATGAAATTATTTTGAGCCAAATAAACCAAATTATGACCAGTGGGACTTCTACAATAGCAACAATTTAGTGAAAACATTTTCATCATTTTAGAAAAAAATATTTATGTGACTATAATGTTGATGATGTTATCATTTACTCTAGTTCACATATGTACCATGTAATTTGCAATAAAAATCAGGAGAAGATCAATAATTTAACACACCCATGGTAAAACTACAATGAAGACAAAAGTCTAATTGAATCTAGATACACTTATCTCATTTCCTTGTAAAATGTTATAATTCCTAAATCTTGAGACAAGAATCAACATAGTGCGCTCACAATGTTTAGAGCATTTTTCTTATTGTACTAAGCTTTTCTTATTATTCATTGTTAAGCATTTATCTGAAATGTTTACATATAGACCAGAAGTAGGACCATAAAAGGATTCTTCAGCACTCATCCCATTTCTATCTGATTCTGTGGTTTATTGAATACACTTTAATATGATGAATCTTGTTAACAAGGTGCAATGTACCGTATATGCCGGCGTATAAGACGACCCGGC